GCGTCCTGGAGGCCCCAGCAAGCCCGAACACTTCTGAGGACCCATGTTGGGAAGACCTTGTGGCCGGTGCCGCCAATTTTGAGCGCTAAGAATTTGTGGACAATGGTGATTACGATGGTGATGATGATGCCGCTGATGATGATGCTGAGGACGATGTTGCTGGTGATGATGGTGGTGGTGGGATGGTGATGATGCTGTTGCTGATGATGATGACACTGTGATGATGATGATGATGATGATGATGATGATGATGATGATGCTGGTGGTGGGTGTGAGATGATGATGATGATGATGATGATGATGATGATGATGATGATGATGAGTATGATGATGATGATGATGACGATGATGATGATGATTATGAGGATGATGATGATGATGATGATGATGATGATGATGATGATGATGATGATGATGATGATGCGGATGATGATGATGATGATGATGATGATGATGATGATGATGATGGCGATGCTGATGCTGATGATGATGATGCTGATGATGATGCTGATGATGATGAGGAGGAGGATGACTATGATGAGGATGATGATGGATGGTGATGATGATGACGAGGAGGAGGAGGAGACGGAGAAGGAGGGGGAGGAGGAGATGGAGGAGGAGGAGCGGGAGGAGGATGGGGGAGGAGCATGGGGCTGAGGATGATGAGGATGATGACAAGGATGATGATGATGATTATGATGATGATGACGATGATGATGATGATGATGATGATGATGATGATGATGATGATGATGATGATGAAAATGATGATGATGATGATGATGATGATGATGATGATGAGGATGATGATGATGATGATGATGATGACGATGATGATGAGATGATGATGATGATGATGCTGACGACGACGATGATGATGAGATGCTGATGCTGCTGATGCTGAGGCTGATGCTGAGGCTGATGCTGATGATGAGATGATGATGATGATGCTGACGACGAAGATGATGATGATGATGATTGATGTGATGATGGTGGTGGTGGTGATGATGATGATGATGATATGATGATGATGATGATGGTGATGATGATGATGATGATGACGATGGTGACGATGATGACGACGATGATGATGATGGTGATGTTGCTGATGATGATGATGATGATGCTGATGATGATGATGATGATGATGATGATGATTATGATGATGATTGCTGATGCTGATGCTGATGCAAATGATGCTGATGCTGATGCTGATGCTGATATGATGATGATGATGATGATGATGATGATGATGATGATGATGATGTGATGATGATGATGATGATGATGGTGGTGGTGGTGTGTGGTGGTTTGTGATGGTGGTGGTGGTGATGGTGGTGATGATGATGATGATGATGATGATGATGATGATGATGATGATGATGGTGGTGGTGGTGGTGGTGGTGGTTGTGTGGTTTGGTGGTGATGATGCTGCTGCTGATGATGATGATGATGATGATGATGAGGAGGAGGAGGAGAGGGGAGGAGGAGGAGCAGGAGCAGGAGGGGGAGGAGGAGACGAGAGGAGGATCGGGAGGAGGAGGGAGAGGAGGAGGAGAGGAGGAGGAGGAGGAGAAGGAGGAGGATGAGGAGGAGGAAGAGGACGTGGAGGAGGAGGAGGAGGAGGAGGAGGAGGAGGAGGAGAAGGAGGAGAAGGAAGAGGACATGGAGGAGGAGGAGGAGGAGGAGGAGGAGGAGGAGGAGGAGGAGGAGGAGGAAGAGGGGGAGGAGGAGAGGGAGCAGAACAAATCCGTAGCCATTTTGGCTGAAGTCGGCAGCGGTGTGGCTCGGGCTTGATCTTTTTGGCAAGGGGGATTTCGCGCGCCCCCCACCGTTTCAAGCTGCTCGTTCCGAGTACTGTATCTCCCACCCGTCTCCTTACGTGACAGTTCTTCCTCTCGGTGTTGTCACGAAAAGAGTGAAAAGGGAATGATCGTGGGAAAAGGTTTCCGGAGGCAGCCATGGAGCCTTCTGACTTGGACATGCGTCAGAAGAAGCGCAAGTTCGATAATATTTTCGTGAGAAGAAGACATGCTTTTGCTGCGGTGCCCCGAGACCGCCAGCCCCAGCTGAGGTCGAGCTTGCGACCCCTCGCGGTAATGGGGCTGGCGGACCGCCCAACCTTCGCGGCGCGGGCGGAGGAGGAGGAAACAACATCACGACCGCCACCGACCATCCCGACGATGCCCAGTTTGAGGCCTTCATTGCGATGGACGACGCCCAGTACGCTGCTCTGTCTGGTCTTCTCCCTGCTGCTGTGCGTTCTAAGGTTGCCTCTCGGCGTGCTGTTTGCAATGGTGACCCTCGTGCAGTGTCCAAGGAAGCGAAGATGGAGCATGACACACTCAAGGCGAAGGTGCAGAAGGTTGAGAGGGCTCTCGAGAAAGCCCGTGGCCATCTCATGGTGCAGATCGAGCGCGTACACAAGTTGCAGAATGTTCACGTTCAGTTGCAAGCTCTTGAACGAGAGGCAGCCAAGCGGGCAGCCACAGCGTTCAAGGAGAGTTGTCGGGCGAGTTAGATGCAGGCGCTGCCGACGCCGACCCAGCGGCGGCGCTTTGTGGGCAGCTCGCTCAGCTTGGCTGCAACCCCGCCGTGCTGCGGGACTTCGACGCGTTCATCACCCAGCGCGACCAGGTGGTTGAGCAGAAGGCCAAGAGGGCTGCGGAGGCTGCGGCGGCCGAAGCAGCCCAGAAAGTTCATTTTCCAGATGATGATGCTGTGCCTGATGCTGGGGCAGCTGCACGAGCTGCTGATGATGATGCGGGCGATGCCATCATGGAGAGCACCATCAAGTTCTAGGACCTTGGCGGCCAGTGGATCGACCATCTGGGTGCCAGCTCTCGTGTCTCGGCCAGTTCGGTTAGCGCTGCTGCCTCTGGCGCTGGCGAGGGACATGGTGACGGAGGTCAGGAAGCCAAGTCAGCAGACGGCATCGCCCGCAAGTCTGTCGAGGCGGCAATGCAGAGCGCCCTGAACCGCGCCGAGAAGGCCAAGGTCCAGACGATCATTTAGCGCGGCATCCTGTTCTGAGTCGAGGCCCTGGTCTTTTGTTGTTTCATGTAATGTAACTGACAGGGGGGGGGACTTGACATTTTCCTATCGTCTCCTCTTTCCCTCTCCGAGCTCGTTGCTTTGCAAGAGGTCCATGTCCTGGATGACGAGTCCATGGGATCCAGTCTCTGGGCCCAAGAACGTCATTGGCGATGTTGCTCCGCAGTTGCCGCTGGGCGCTGTGGACCCTCGGGGGATTTGATTGCGGCAGGGCCCGAGCACGTCAGTTTGTCGCGCGTCGTTGGGGCCCCGGACAGTCATGGGCCAGGTCGCGTTGGTCTTTTGCATTTTGGGGGCGTTCTTCCTGGGGGGGTTGTCGTTGCCAGCATTTGTTGGCACCGTAGTGTAGGCCTAACTGTTTAACATTGGGCCATTCAATGTGGGCTTGGAGGCATTCTACGTTCTGTTGGGATGCCTTTTATTCTAGCTGGTGACTTTAACGTGGAGCCCGATGTTCTCGGACACAGCGGGTGGGTCGCAGCGATCGACGCCGCGGTCGTTGCCCCCAGTGATGGAACGTGCCGGCCCGCTGATCGGGATATTGATTACTTCATTGCTCGTCGCGAGCTGGCCCCGTGCTCCTCAGCCCGCGTCAACTATGAGCTCCCCGTGGCTCCCAGCTACCTTGTCCAGGTGATCATCCAGAAGCCCAGGCTGCCTGTGATGGTCCGCGTGGCCAAGGCACCCAGGAGGTTTCCTACCGTGGTCCCTGCGGGGCCCCGTCTGCCCTCATATCAGTCTCGCTGGGGGGGGGGGGGCGCTCGCGAGGCCGTGGAGTCCGGGGATATTAACTCGCGGGGGTGTTTCATTGAGGCCGCGGAGGTCGAGTTGATCTAGGTCTACCAGGTGAACTCTGATTTGACTTCTGGATACCGTGGTCGCAAGTTTCCTCTTCGGTTCAAATGGGCATCGCCTGGGCGGCCTGGGCCGCCAGCATTGTCCAGGATCAGTGCCCCTGCTTTCTGGTGGAGCAGCGTGTCGTTGGTCTTCCAGGCGCTTGTTCAGCCTTGTGGAGCGCGTGGAACGCAACAGGTCGTCCGATCAGCTCGGAAGTTGCAAGGGCCCCGCGGTGCAGTCTGGCTCTATGGCGCAGTTTTGTGTCATGATGGATCACCTCCTGCTGCGTCCCGACATGTGCTATGGTCTTGCACGAGTGCTTACCCGGATGGCGAACGACCAGGCTATGCAGCTTGCGCGAGCCACGACTGCGCAGACAACCATGGGCTGGGACCAGTGGGGTCGCGAGCACTCGGCCAATGGCGTCGCGGCTCTCTGCGATTATATCAAGTTGCCGAACGCCTGGCAGTCGTCGCCCTTCGTGCAGTATGCCCCCGCCAACTCCATGCAGGAGATCTCCCTCTTGCAGGCTGAGTGGGCCAAATGGAGGCGAGCCGGGGGGACCAATCCTTTTCTTTCCTGGCCCCAGGACCTTGGAGTGCAGCCTCCCCCCTTCCTCTCTGAACCACCTCAAGGATGGTCCTGCTCGCGTTCCCTGAGGGGGCGGTTTCCAGCATCGATGAGTTGCCGCCGAGACGACTTCTTAGGCTCCCCGATGAAGCTTTCGCATTGCTTTGCTTGCCTGTGTGCTTATTAATTTTATTGGGCAGCAGGTGTAGTGGCCGCCCGTGGTCGCGCGTATCATTTCTATCCCCGAGAGGCTTGGCGGCGTCGGGCCGGTAGGTTTGATGCATTGCCTGTTTCGTGTCCAGGCCAGGTTGCGTCGCGGTATTCTGCAGAGCTGACAGAAAGCTAATTGCAGGTAGTTCTGGTGGGCAATCCAAGGCGCATCTGCTGAGCTCTCGGTGTGGTTGCATGCTGCGTGGGCCGAGTGCCGCGCGGACTCTGATTCGGGTGCTGCCGCCCTCCTGGGTGTCCTCAGAAAAGCTTTCCTTGGGGGCTGCTCAGGGAACTATCTTTCCCCTCTGGCAGTTGGAACCTCTGATCCCGGCATCCAGGTCGCTGCGCGGTTTAGAAATGCAAGGCTTGTGCAGTGGCGAGTTGCTGGTCGATCAGACCATCCGCCCCGGCAGCCTCTACGCCGCTGGCCTCCTGCAGCTCGTGCCCATTGCCCCCCTTGATGAGGTCCGACGTGAGTATCCAGCCGTGCCTATCGCGGTCTGCGTGGGCGACATTATTCTGCAGAGGCGCGGGGGGGCGAGGAGGGTGGGGGATGACGTTGCGGGGGCAGGTGCGCTGATGAAGCAGGAGATGCAGGAGGTCGATTTAGTCATCGCTCTGGACAAGTCTCGCGCGCTCGCTAATTCACCGGCGAGTACTGGAAGCGCGCAACAGCTGTTATCATTCTTGGCATTTGCCTATGGGATAGGCGTGACCGATGGGGCGTCAGAAAGGATTAGAGCTGGAGATAGTTGATGTTAAGCGGACATACTTCCACGCCGAGGCATAAACGAAGTCTTCATCAGGTTGCCCGAAGATGATCGCGAGCCGTGCGTGGGCGGATGATGGTTAAACGTCGCCATGTGGATTTAATCATAGATCAACGCGATTCTGCCTAGCGGCTCATGGGCGTGACTTCGCGTCGTTGGGTGATCGCGTTGATCTTCGCGGGTTCGAAGATGCAAGCAATGGGGGGTTTGAAGTTTTAATCCGTGGCAGTCTTGGATTGGGGCCGCCATGTTTGCAGTCGATCCGGATCCCAACCGCGTTGTGGATGGGGCGGGGGCGGGCTTTTTCTTCAGGGTGGTCTCAGGGCGCGCGGAAGTATTCGTCGACGAATTGACTTTGGAGCAGAACGAGGTAAGATGTGATATGCCAAGCGAATCGCAGCCTTGCGTTGATTTGGTCGAGGAGCTCCTCCCTTGTCACGGGCCCCAGGCGAATTATCCTGCGCGGGGTCGTTCGGTCATGCAGCCATCAGTCGAGGAGCTCGCGCGCTCGACGTCCGCCCCGGCCCGGGGGGCGTGGGGCAGTTTCGCAAACGTGGGCAAGTATCTCGTTAGCGCGGCAGGCGTGGGTATCAGTGCCTGTCTCAAGAATGACCTTCGGGGTTAATTGCGCGCGCAGGCGCATGCTATGCGGGGGCCGAGGATCCGCGCGGGGCGACGAGTGGAGGAACAGTAATGCGGGGATTGCACTTCATAAAGTCATATGTGGAGTTCGACGCAGAGTGTCGCGGCATGGCCTTTTGGAGAAGGAGAATATCAGGGAATTACGAAGGGTGCACCTGCAGCGCTGGGCTGTGAAGGACTTAGTGATTGATTGCGAGCAGGCGCGGATTAGGCAAGGTCCGACGCAGGACATCAGTGTCGTCAAAGTAGGGGTCCAGTAGAATATCTCATATGCTCTTACTAAATGTGCGAGCAGAGAGAACATGTCCATGCATGTGCGAGGTACCAACCATAACTATGCTAGCGGGCGGCACCAGCTACCGCCCGCCACGGAGTGGTAGCCAAATCCACATCGGGTTAGCATCGCGTGCCGCTTTGCTGGAGATTTCAGCTCAGGATCGGTTGAGATCCAGGTGCTCGTCTGCGCGATTCTTATGTTTTAAGACAGTCAGTGTTAATCATGTTGTATGATCCGGTGCTTTGCGACATTGCGCGCCCCTGCGCTCGTGCGCCCAAATCATAGTCGCCTTTTGCTTCCACCAGTCATGTTTCCATTGCTTCGTTGTGCCCGTGCTTATGATTTCACCTTAGCTTGCCTCGTTTGACTGGGAATTCGGCCAATGATCGCCATCGACCGCGTAAAAATCTTCCGTGTTACCTCCCATCCAGTCTGCTTGTTGTTTTCCTTCCCCCGTCGCTTCATTTGTACATGGCGTTGCGACGGGGTAAAAAGGGTGCACTTGTTCAGCAGTGAGGGATCCTGTGGTACGGAGCTCGCTCCGCCGGCGTTTTGGCTCAAGTGCTATCGCCTTCTCGTTAAACATTTCCTGCCAGAGGCTCAGGGCGGGCGAGGGGCGGAGGGGGGCGTGGGAAGGCTAAGACGGCAGGAGGGGGGGACCCTTCGGGGGTTGCCCGAGGTGCTCCTGGTCCAAGGTGCCCCGTGCTTTTCGCGCGATTTTGGCGCCCTTGGGGCCTCGGGCGCCTCGCGAGGTGCTCACGGGTCCGTGAGGACCTACCTCGAAATCCGGAGGACACCCTGGGCCAATGACGCCATCATTTTTTTTTTTTTTTTGTTTGTTGTTTTTTTTTGTTGATTTTTTTTTGTTTTTTGTTACGTGTGTGTTGTTGTGTTGTTGTTGTTGTTGTTGTTGTTATTGTTGAACATTATTTATTCTAAAGAATAATTATTGTTGGGCCCCCTGGTGCGCGCCCCCCCTGCGCCGCCTAGACCGCAGCTACATTTTCATCATTTTCGTGAGGAAGCCTCAGAAAAGAGGGTGTGTACAGGATCCGGTTGTTTTGTTGTAATCCGCTTTCCCTTGCAAAAAACAATAGAAAATGACATTTCTTGTTCTAATATAATCAAATTTCAAGAATCCCTTGCAAAAAATAAGGTAAAGTGGACATTCGCGCGCGCAAGACGAAATCCTTCCAAAAGCTTAGTGTTCGCAGCGATTTTAACATAAAAACATCAAAAAACCAATGGTTTTTCAACAAAAAAATGTCAAAATCTCATCCCGCGCGCTCTTGCGGATTCGTAGGAAACCCAACACTTTTTAAACATTTCTGTCAAACGGGCTTTTGCGAGCAACTTTTTCGAACTTCTGCGACAACGGTTGCGCACCTGCCAGGGCCATCATCCCTGTCAAATAATACCATGCGGGACACATTCGTTTTTTCTTCGCGCGCGCACGCCGTCGTCGTCGGCCGCGGGGCCCTGAATAGTAGCCACGGTCGTCCGCATGCCACGAAGTGAAGTGTCCGAACGTCATAGGGCGGGAAGCTGGGTGTGGGTGGTGGCGAAGAGTCGTTTGGAAATTTGGTAGAGCTTGAACCGGCCCCCCCACAAAGTGGGGGTATTGCCCGCCTCCTATGAAAACCCTGGCACTGGTG